AAAAAAACCCGACCCGACCCGAATGTCAAACTTAAAAAACCCGACCTGAACCTGAATTTTTTTAAAAAATCCAACCAATCCCGAAATTTTTTAAAAAAATCTGACCCGAATACCAAAATATTGATGAGGGTAGTATGGTTAAATTTCACATTCCCTCCTCCAAAGGATTTCAATTCCATCATGTTATGGATGAAATTTACTTTCACTCCCTTGATGGAATTGGATTCCAATTTCTCTTTTGAAAACTTGAACCAAACATGGGAAAGTGGTGGAATTAGATTCCAATTTCCCCTAATTCCAAGGGATTCCAACGAACCAACGCCACCTTAGTCTCTCGCATTTTTCTTTGTCCAATAATTTGAGGGCAAAATATAAATTTTTATGTCTGTTTTATAAAAATAATTTATTTGTTAATAAAAAATAAATTTTATTTTTATAATTATTTAATAATTTTTAAAGTTTAGTGACTAATAATTGTTTGAGGATATTTTATTTTTTATGTACTTTAATGATATTTAATTATCACAATGTTCAATATATTAAAAATACATATTATATTTTAATAATATATAAATAATATTATATTTTAGAAATAAAATATTAGTGTAATTAATTTTTTTATTATTTTATAATAATATTATTCAAGTAATACTATTAGTTATTTGATATTTAATTGAAATGTATTATATAAATATTTTAACTATAAAAATTATTCCAAATTATTGCCGGGAATAACCCAAATAGTTTCCTCTTGTGCTTAAAACGCTGGCCAACAGCCCTACTGTGGTACCTCTAGATCGATGAAATGCTTAAATTTATCCCTATTTACTCTAAATGTTAATGGAAAAAAATAAAATTAACATAATTAAATCTCACCAATGTCTATATTTTAGATTGAATTCATATTAAAATTGTTCTTCATAAAGTAAGGGATTAATTAACTGGTTATCACATATGGTCAATATATTATTGTTGGATCAATGAGTACTATTTTTTGGATAGATATTTGGACTATAATCAAATTGTCATCAAATCAAAATCTCAAGAGAAGAGATATTCATATGTTCTTATGTTGATATATCTTTTACATAATATTTTTGATTCGTATAACGCTTTAACAATTTTAACGATACATACGGTCATTTTTTGCGATACAATTGAAATAATATTCTAAGAATTTATAGATGGCTTGTCTAATAAAGGTAATTCATTTGATGATTGTTTATTAGATCTTGCAAAAGTGTTTATGACATTATGAAGGGAGAAATGTCATTTTATAGTGCAAGAACAAATTGTGTTAGGACACAGTTTCTTCCAAAGACATAGAAGTAGACCAAGTAAAAAAAAAAGAGGTACTTGAGAAGTTGCACCCACCAATCAATGTGAAGGGTATTAGAAGTTTCCTTAACCATGTGTGGTTCTATCAACGATTATTAAGAATTTTCCCGTCATAATAGAATCACTTGAGTTATGTGTAATGTTAGTAACTTGATGTAGGTGTCATCACGGGACAAGGAAGAACACATTTTTTTTTCACACGATCTACAATGCTAGTCGCGCATTGACTGCAACTCAAATGAATTATTACAACTAAAAAGGAGCTGCTTGCGTATTTGCAATTGATAAATTTCATGTCTATTAGTAGGAGTTAGAGTGATAGATCATGCTACAATAAGATATTTTTCAACAAAAAAGATATTTGTGTAGTAGGAGTTAATTCATACTTTTCACTTATAGATTAAATAAGTTTTCGAACTTTCAATTGAAATCAATTATGTTCTTAAACTTAGTTAAAATCAATTTCTTGTGTTACATCACCATCACACATGAAGCATGTCAGTACAATAGACCACACATCAATACTAACTATCACATTAGTATTGTAACAACCTCTCATCAGCTAAAGATAAATTAATGTAATTAAATGACATCTAGAGAAATATTGCAATAAATTAGGGGCAACTTTACAATTATAATACATTTTTCATATTCATGACGTCGGTGAAAGAATTAATTTATATAAAATATTATATCTTGTAAAATTCTATCAATAATGATTATTGGGGGAGTGATAGAGAATGTATACATAAATCTTATTAAACATCCTTAAAATTCTGACTTTAGTTATTTATAATAGGGTAAACTATATAAATAGTCCCCAAAACTTTTAGGGCTTGTATTTGGTCACTCAACTTTTGAAACTTGCAATATGGTCATTAAACTTCTAATTTGTTTTTATAAAGGTCCCTGCCGTTAAATTTTGCTAGCGTGACGCTTAACTGCCGTTAACTTTTTGACGTGGTAGCAGGTCTCTTCTTCTCATTCATTCTTTTTTCAAGTACTCAATAAAATATCACTTAGCCCAATGAACCTTCCTAACTACAATCAACTTCAGACGGGACTAAAGTCGCTAGAAAATCACAAGGAACATCTATGACTTTTGGAAAAAACTATTGAAAGTGTATGTGTTTGTTATTATAGTGAATTGGAGCTCGGGTGATCGTTGTGCTTCCGATCACGGTTTGAGTTTGCCCTGAAGCACTGCAAATTGCATTCTGCAAGAAGAAGAACCAGGTAAGAAAGTCCAAACTCCAACATCGTTAAAAGTCTAGTTTGAGCATGCGTAAAGTGAACACACGTCATAACCCATATCACATAGTTTTTATATTTTTCGCTACATCTATTCAGCAGCAGCACATACAATGGATAAACATTGCTTTCTACGTCTTCCAACAATAGGTTGTGACCGCAAACTAAGGCCTCTTGGCTGAATTCGCAAGGTAACAGCTTTCGGTGAAATACCCCATTATCTATCGAGTTCCTAGTTACGGCCTTTGGTTCAAAATGCAGCTCTTTCGGGAGCTCCATTGGAGAAATGTAAGAGGGCATTAGCGTCGCTGGTAATGCCAGGTCGAACCCAACTGTTATAGCTTCATCCCCAAGCTCATTGCCGGTGACTCCAACTCTCAACATCAGCATAATGCAGCCAAAATAAGCCTCTGGCTTTAATAGCCATTATTTTAGGCGATGTTTGGTTCTCGCTTCGGTTTCCCTCTTGCTTACTGTTACTTCTGGCGAAACTATGTTACGAAAATGAGAGAGGGGAAGGGGTCCAAGGTTCTCGAAGGAGAGAAGATCGTTTACACCTCGAGTCCATATCCGCACAGCCAGGTTTCGAGAGGGGAAGAATGATGTTCTTCGAAAGCGTCCGGAGGTTTGATCTGGAGGATTTGTTGAGAGCTTCGACGAAAATGTTGGGAAAAGGTGGGTTCGGTACGGCGTATAAAGCGGTGTTCGACGATTGTAACGTGCTGGACGTGAAGAGATTGAAAGATGCAAACGTGGGTGGAAAGATAGAATTTGAGCAACAAATGAAAGTTTTGGGAAGGTTAAGGCATCCTTTTTTGGTTAGCTTGAAAGCATACTATTTTGTCAGGGAAGAGAAGTTCTGGGAAGTTCATTTCATACACAATTAATAAGTATAGTTGTTGTTGCAGGGTGGTGGGTGGAAGTAACCACCATCACCGGGCAGATATATTGTGGGGTTTATGGAGATGGTTGATGGGTCACTTTCTCGTAAGTATAGGAAGATACTGCTTGATCGATACCGCAGTTAAGTTTCACGTTAGCAAAAATTAATTGTTGGTAACAGTTACTCGGGGACCATTTATATAGTTACCCTATAATATTTAATTTATTTTTGTATTGATGTACTTTTTATGATAAATAATAATCTGAAAAACGTCTTGCGTATAGTTACATCAACAACCCTATAATATGCATTTTTATAGTGTGAGCATTCTATGTTAAGCACTATTTGCCTCTCGTCATGCATCGTGTGTCATGCAAAACACGAAGATGAACTTATTCTTTTCTTGTCATTGAAAAAAGGAATATTATATTAAACGATCGAACTTCCTACAAGCTTCTCCCTCGAAGCACAAGGCTTCCATAATTGACTTCACCTTCCATCTCAACATCAATCTACAAAGAACATAAGGAAGTTTCCTTGGAAAATTTCTAAATATGCTTTCATACTAAACTTACATTCTCCGCTGCAGCCATCTTTCTACGAGTATGCAACTTTTGCAAAAAGATGTTGCCAATAATCTCGAGAGTCAAAAATTGCGGTTGGAATGTTTCTTTTCGTTGGTTTCATGAGCATTTCCATAGTGATACGATCAAAATCGTTAAATAGGAAACATATGAGAAAAAATAATTTTTTATTTTCTTTTATTAGGAAAGTGTAGGTACGAGTCTTGGTGATGGAATAAAATTAAATAATTAGTCGAGAGTTGCCGGTTTATTCTTTTTGGTTTAAGTTTGAGAATCGTAATTGGTGGTTGTACGACCGTTAACTAGTGTGTGTAAATTCTACTCTCATAAAGAAGGATTGGAGAGAAAGAGAGATCAAAAGTGGTTGAGATGGTACCAGTCCCTTCTATCAGTCTTAAGGATTTATAGTGATTCTTAGTACGAGTATTCGGCGTAAAATTATTATGACTATTCGTAGAATAATAAATTTGAGTGATGTGATCAACTATCAATTCTAGTAAGTCACATTATGTCGGCCAAATATAGTACCAAAGGATCGTAACCTCCTAAAAGACAAGAGATTAGAGGTGTCTTCCTGGATATTCTCCAAAAGTGCGGAAATCAATCTTACGAAGACATGTAAGAAGTAGAAAAAATCGTAATCAAATTTACAACGTAAGATCACAATAGCACACTAAATGAAGAAAGCCAGACAGTTAAGATTAAAATTTTATACCTAGTAAACATCCAATGATTGCATGAATCAAAAGGGTTAAAGTTTCCGATTCATTCTTATGGTGGTTTTCTTCTTGTAAATGAATGTACCTCGAAGGGGTAATATGAACACAAAGCTGGGGAATTGAAAACATCATATGTAATTCATAACAGCAGTATCAGTAGCAGCATTATTTTATGATATATATTCTAATTACGACAGGCAATGGCGTTTCACTATATTAAATAGATCAGTGACTCAGATTATCATGGACAAACTTCTTCAATCTCTCAGACATCCTTGCAGCTCCATAATCTGGTGATCCCTCCCCAATCTACAACCATTTTCAACCAAAAAATCAATTAAAAAAGTTCATTAGAAAAAAAGGGTAAACGAAATCAAAGTCATTAAAGCACAACAACGAGTGTACCGTAAGATGAATGGTGTGTAGAACAGTATCATCATCGACAACAGAGAAACCTGCACTAACAATCTCAGCCCTTTCATCATGTAGAATACGAATCGTTTCATTGAAAACGAATCGGCCGTTGAACCCGGTTCTCAATGCAATCACCAAAGACGAAGAACCCATTTCTTGAATCTGGATTTGAGGGTATTTTGAACCCATTAAGCCCTCTTTCTTTTCCTTCATTCTCTCCAACTTTGCCTTCAAACTCTTTATGTAATTCGCAGCTTCATCTATTTGGTCTGGCAGTGATGCCGCTTCCTGCATTATATTGGGGGGGGGGGGAAGAACCCAGATTTAGCTAATATTTGTGCACATTTTTTAAGCTTGAAGGTGAAAGATTGAGAGAGAGAGAGAGAGAGAGAGAGAAACCCTAGAGCTCTGATGTGGAACGAGAGAATTGAGCTTAGAACAGAGAGCTTTCATTTGATTTCTCCTGTTTCTCTCGATGAATTTCCTGTCTAATTTTGAGGAATTAGGTTTGTTGATCTCCATTGATATCCGAGTGTTTTCTTTGAGAAGCAGATTAAAGCAGCTCGCCACAATATTGGATTCTCATCCAAGTAACAGCTGGTTATGCTTTATACTACTTTCGTTTGACTCAATAGGTCATGTTTTGGAATTAGTCCATATATTACATATAACTTATAAATTAGTTCATGTATTTTAATTGATCAATTTTAGTTTTGATGTTTCTGAGTTTTAAAATTTTATTGTGATTTAATTAGGTATAAGAACGATATAACTAAATTACATAAACTTAAAATAATTAAATTATAAAAAAAAAACTAAATCTATAATTTATACATAATATAAAAATTAGTAGTAGAATTTAGTCAATCTTTTTTGATAGGATCAATTGACAATTGAATTTGTTTTTATATTTATAATGGTGCCAAAGGAAAGTTTGTCAAGTTATTCAAGAATAATAAGGTTGTTGAGTTTATGACCGTTTAACTTAAGATTAGTCATTTTTATTTCTTGTAGAATAGATAAGAGATATAACTCGACGATAGAACGTCATCTTGACATGATAAAAGTCATGAGTTTTAATCTGGTATCTCTAAATCCTATGTAGTTTTTTTTTACCTAACGAATGAAAATGGATAAAAGACTAGTAAAATTGATATAAAAGGATAACTTAACCAATTATTATTGTTTAAACCAAGGTCAAAACAGTAAATTTAAAAAAATATATAATTAAAATAAACCCACTAAATTCATAACTTAGTACAATGGAAAGGTTATTTAAAGGATTTAACGTTGTCAATATACAAGACGATCATCCAGCCGGCATATGAATATGTTTTCGCACGTTTAATATTTTAATAATTTTATAATCATATTTCATAACTTATGCATGTGGATTATATATAGAATTTTGAATATAATTATATCAATAAATTTAATGATTAAATTATTAAAATATTAAACTTACTACTTCTCGGAGATTATAAATATACAAATGGTTAAAAGAAGAGAGCTGGGGGAAAGGTTTGCTAGGTATGAACCGATGGTGGAGTCTCTGTAGGGCTTAGTAGACTGCCATTGACCTGTTTTAATTATTCAAAAAGATGCATACACACCAAAGCTTTTACATATACGCGTGGCTTTAATAAAACTAAATAATATAATTAATATAAAAATCAAATTCAATATCTATTACATCAAATTATTAATAATACAATACTAGATGCATAAATATATCTAAATTAATTAATAGATTAAAATTATTAAGTTTTTATTCAATTTTACTCATTCGAAATGGTAAATTTACTCTTACTGCAAAAATTTTCTACGGAGATAAAGTAATTTAAATTAACATATTTCTTATAAATTTACCTTTCAAAAAAATATTTCTTATAAGTTTTATTATGACAGCAAAAATATGAATGAATAAACAATTTAATTAAACTTCTGACAACGCACCTAATTTTACTTTCCAAGGAAATGATTAAAAGGTCGTATCAGTATTTCTGATCTCATTTTGACCACAATATGACCTGAGAAGTTTGGTACAATGTTTTTGTTTCAAAAGAAAATATATTATAATATAGATTATTATTTTACATATTGTAAGTAAAATATATTTTTAAAATAATTTTAGATAATATTAAGTTTTTATTATTGACTTTGTTGGTTGACAGCGGGGTAACTTTAATGCAAGTATCCATCGTCGGTATTATTATTATTATTATTTTTATATAATATCTTTATTTATTTATTTTTAATAAATTTATTTGATTGTACATTTTTATCTATTTTTATATTACATTTTTTATATTTTGTTTTGTATTTTTTCGGTTGTTTGATAGTTTTTCATTTATCTTTTTTTTAATGATTGATTTGACATCGTTATGACCGATTAAGATGACACTTATATGATATCTTGTTGATCTTTCCTGCTTTAGACCCTCAGACTGGATTTGGATACTCGATTTGTATTTGTGGATAGCTTTTCATGTCGCTCGAGTCTGATTTGCGGTTTGTCGGATATCTTTAAATAGCTTGATCTCCTTTTGTGGTAATTTATTGATGCGATCAGATATGCTTGTATCTATTTTTGTTCGAGTTTCTTGGTTATATTAATTTTTCTTTGTATGATCCTTATATGATCTTAAGTTACTAGTTTTATTTAAATGATTATAAGAAATTTTCCTAATTATGTGGTTAATTTAATATTTTGATTGTAAATCTTTATTGTGGTTTAAGATATTTTCTATTTTGAATAAAATTAGTTAATTTTATAAAAAAAATTATTATTTAATTTTTATATTTTAAATTTTATTTAAAATGAGACTAATATCTGAACATTATTAGTAATATTTTTTTCACAACAATGTATCAAATAATAATTAAGGTTAACTATTAGAACATTCACTTACCTTTTATATTTATATATTTTTCTCACCAGCCTTTAACAAGCTAACTGCCTGCCAACCCACCTTAGCCCCCACAACACTAGTATCTTGACCCTTCCAAAATACTCTCATACACATACGATTTATCCTCTTAATCACAACCATGAGAAGAAGAAACTGACATCACCAGAAGTTTGCTATGTTGAGTAACACATACCTTATGAGCTGAAACCTCCCAGAATAGCTCAATAATATGATAGTCCATTGCTCCAACTTAGACCTAATCCTCTCCAAGACAGACAATCCTTCTCAGAGAGTATAATAGTTAAATTGTTTTTATAACTTTATAAACTTTTATAGCTTAATTTGAATCTCTTAAAAAAAAAATAAGAATTTGATAACTCACACATTTATTTAAATTTAAATTTTATTTATTTTAAATTAAATAATTTATTTTTTTCATAGTTTAATATCAATTTTATCTAGGGATGGGCATGGGTCGGGTTTCATCCAACTCGACCTGACCCGACCCGAAAAATATACACCCTCCACCTGACCCGAACCGACCCAACTTTCTGAGTTAAAATCCAAACTCGATCCGACCCGGCCCGAAATAATAATAAAAATATTATTTTTATTCAATAAAAACACTGATTTAATTGAAAATAATATATAGAGGGTATTATTGTACTTATTCCTAAATATATAAGATAAAATTATATTTTTTGGGTCGGATCGGGCTAGGTATTTTTCAACCTAAACTCGAATTCGACCTGACCCGAACCGAACATCACATTTAAAAAAACCAACCTGATTCAATCCCCATTTTAAAAAAAAATCAACCCGATCGGGTCGAGTCCCATGACCATCCCTAATTTTATCCCTGATCGTATCAATGAATATATTTAAAAACATGATTATTTCTTGTTGAAGTTGGACCAAAACACACATTTACTTGTGTCGTCAAAAATGTTGGGACAATCACAACACCAATAAAACTAAATTATATTGAACTTTTCAGTGCTCATCGTTCTTATAGCAATTGTTCATGTAATCATCATGCTTAAAGTGGTTGATTTTGCTCTTTAATCTTATCTGATTAATAATTTATTATTGATGTTTTCAGTATATATCTTTGTCAACATTTTACATGTTTACTATCACTAAATGATCTCTCCTTAAATCGTATCTTTATTTAAATTACATGTGACACGTGGTTGACGGAGGTCAACTATAAAGGTGTCTTAAGCAACTATTGGATTTTTTATTTAAATATTATTTCATATGTTCTAATTATTTTATTTTTGTATTTTAAAATTACCTTGTTCAAAATTTAGCAAATGTTTAATTTTATATTTATATCACCCCCTTTATTTTAGTTATATTGAGTGAAATTAGACTTTTTTTTGGAAGAGTCATTTACTAGACTTTTTCCTTTGGAAAAGTCATTTATTGATAGTAATGTTATTATCAACTTTATTTATCAAATCATGTATTTTATATGTAATTCCATTGAGAAAATGTATATCAATAATGTATTTTCTTTTTCGATAAATTCTTCATTGAGTGTTGAACTATTTTTAAGCTTGACAAAAAAATTCTTAAAATTGCGTGTGTTCTAAAAATATAATTAGTATCGATCATTTTTGAGTTAAATATAATCAGTCACCAATATAACCATTTCTTTATAAAAGGATTTTAGGAAAATCCTCTATAAAGGGAAAATTATAAAAATATATATTTTAAAATAAAGAAAAAAAAAATAGATTCTAGAGTTTATTATATGTGAGTGAGGAATGTTGAAGTACCTTTCCCAAAATTAATATCTTATTAATTACATGTCTTGATTTTTAAAATTTTGAATTCAAATAAAATTTTACTTCATGATCCTTGAATTAAAATATAAATGTTTTTAGGTCATGTGAATGGTTTTAATTTAAGGATAAAATTATGAGTCTTTTAAAGTTTTCTAAATAGGTTAGTGTAATTATAAGATAATATTTTTTTAGAATTTTTTTAGTTTACGATAATATATATACACTATGCAGTTGTAGATCCTCAAATTTGAGTTTTCTATAAAGAATAATAGTCTATTTTATTATTGGGATCACTCAATGAATATGAGTTTTTTTTTATTAAGTTAATGCGATTATAAAGTAGTACATGTTCTAAATATTCTCAACCATTTGATAATAACCACTCAATTACCCCGTTGCAGCTGCTGGTGCTTGAACTCGTGAACTCTAAGAAGAATAACATATCCTTTAACTACTGAGGAAAGTTGGTTCGTGTATGAATACGAGTCTTTTAAAGTTAAATTCATATATACAATACACATTCATATTATAAATATTATTATATTATAAAATTATTTAGTGAGATGAGACGTTAAATTTTTTAAATAAAATCAAAAATTTAAATCCTAATAATTATGAATAAAATAAATTGAATTAAAAAGATCTTCTTAGTGATATATCTCTGTAAAATATGATATGTATTAATTAATTAAAAGATTTGATATAATAAATAATTAAAAATTATTATTATATTTTGTAATATTAGGGTTGGTGGGACCTCGTAAGAATTGTGCTATCATCATTTTCTTCGGCATAAATATAATAGAAATCCACTTTT